AGAGAGAGAGACGAGTGAGAGAGAGAGAGAGAGACGAGTGAGAGAGAGAGAGGAGAGAGAGAGGGAGGGAGAGATAGAAAGAGAGAGAGTGTGTGAGAGAGAGAGAGAGAGAGAGAGAGAGAGAGAGAGAAATGGAGAATATGAGAGAGGGGGGGGGAAGAGAGATAGAAAGGGAGAGAGAGAAAAAGAGAATATGAGAGAGAGAGAGAGAGAGAGAGGGGGAGGGAGGGGGAAAGAGTGAGTGCGGCTGAAGTCTTTTTGAAGCTCACTGTGATCACGCTATTTGTTTTCCTTTTTCTCTCCAAAACTGAATCATCAAAATGTCTAACTGAGTCGTTGTTGTTTTCAGGAACGAGAAGAAGGGAGAGTTCCACATAGTGACCGTCCCCAACAGGCTGATGCACCTCTATAGGAACGGCACCATCTACTACAGCATGAGGTGAGAGATGTGGGGATAGTTAACTGTCTGTTTGACTGTCTGTGTGTGGCTTACCTTTAAGTACTACAGCATGAAATGAAGGCTGCAGGAACTGTCTGTGTTGTACTACAGCATGGAGGGTGCGGTTGCGGAGCGGTTAGTGCACTCGTCTCCGAAGTGGAAAATCTGGGTTCAAGCCTCGGTTCGGACACGGATTTTTTTCGCCCCCTCCTGCCCACCCAGCAGTAATGGGTACTTGACTTCGAGTTGGGGAAGTCAAGGTGGCGTGGAAAGGAACTGGCCACCCTACCACAATAATAATATTATGCTGAAGGCCCTAGAAGTTGTCTCACTAACAAAGCAATCCCATGTCCGGATCGGATGCGGGAACAACTTTACTTTAGTGCTGCATGAAGTGATGGGTGTGAGAACAGTCTGTTTGACAGTCTGTGTGGTTTACCAGTGTGTACTACAGAGGGAGGTGATGGATGTGGGAAAAGTTAACTCTCTGTCCGGCTGTCTGTTTGGTTTATCTCTCTGTACAACAGCATGAGCAGTTCAAGGGTGTAGGAAGCACTGTCTGTGTGTGGCTTGCCTCTCTGTACATTAACAGCATGTCGAGCTGAGGTGAAGGGTGTAAGTACTGTCTGTCTGATTGTCTGTGTGTGGTTTATTTCTCAGTACTACGGCATGAGGTGAGGGGTGTGGGGATAGTTCAATATCTGTGTGGTTTTCCTCTCTGTACGACAGCGTGAGGGGAAGGGTGCAAGAACTAATTCCAGGCCACTAATTCTCTACTTGAAGACAACTTTTATCCAAGAGTATAGCGCTAGAAGGCGGTACAGGCGAAGTCTTCAATTAACCCCGTGTTTTAGCAGACGATCACACCACTTTAGGAAATGGAAAGGCGACGTTAACGAGGGTGGTTTGTGACGTTTTTTCTATCTCTACAAACTGCTTGCTGTTATGTCATTTACTTCAATTTGGTGTCGGTGGCCTAGTGGTTAGGCTACCGAGGGTTCGAGCGAGGCTGAACTCGGTCCCTCGTTGTGTCCTTGGGAAAGGCACTTTACACGAATTTCCCACTTGTCTCGGTCATTTCGGAGCTAGACGTTATACTCGGAGGTTCCGTCTCTTAAATAACCTAACTATGAACAATGTTGATAGGGGCGTTAAACCTATACCATTTCATCATTTCCACCGTTACTTTGTTCTCTGTACCGTGCCAGCCACTTCGAGTAATTTACAAGGTCAATAGATTTTCTTCTGCTTGGATGATAAAGGTCAGCATCAGTTCGCGGCGGGAGGACTCTTCTTGTTATTGGATTACAATGGGTTTGAATGAAGCCGCTCGTGAATATTTCAAAGACAATATATGTAGCGAGGTGTAGAGGAATAACAACACATCGTGGATAACCAGGAGCAGTTTTCTACCCTAGCGCCCGTTTTGCAATGTAGATCTACTCGATAAAAGCTCAAGTCCCACCAGCTCCCAGAAACATGGCAGCAGTCAAGCCTGGAGTCTGGGGTCTGTTATGTAAATTACGTTATGTAAATTGCGTACATGTTCTGGTCAATGCGGACCGCGTTATTCACCTACACCAGAAACTGCATTATTGAGAACACCATGTTTTTCTTTCTTGGTTTTCATTTTCTTCTTCCTCATCTAACTCCTCTACCCGACCCCCCGAACCGTCATCCTCATAAATTGGAGGAGAAATAGACTTGAGGACAACTCAAGAAAAGTTCGTGAAGAAGATTTAGATCCAGAGACTTCCTAGGACTTTTCATACTTATAATATAACATTCTTTTCAGGTTTTTTTGTGTTGTGCTCTTGTAATAACCTTTAAACGGTATTTGTAGACAGCATTGATCTATTTTGTGAAAGAATGGTGGAATTGTATAGGTTTAACGTCCCCGCCAACACTTTTAGGTTATTTAAGAGGTTGGACCTCCGAGTTCTGTAGCTTCATGTGGCAGGAGAGTAGAACTGACAGTCTGTGGAACATACAACAGACATAGCTATAGACCTCCGATGTCCATCTCCGAAAGGACCGCACCAAATAGGAAATTCGTGTAAAGTGCCTTTCCCATGGACAAAGGGTGAGACCGATCTGAGGCTCAAACCCTCGAACCCGCAATCTCACGTTTTTGAGTCCGGTAGCCTAACCACTAGGGATCTATTTTCTGCCGTTGTGGTATTGTACAGTTGGGATGTGAAAATACGGACGAAGGTTTGGACATGATGAGCTTCTCCCTGTGGTTTTCTAATGTACGCCAACGTCTGTGTCATCTATCTATCTATCTATCTATCTATCTATCTATCTATCTATCTATCTATCTATC